TTCTTTATCTCTCTCTCAGTCTGTCTCTCTCTCTGCTAGTTTCCAAGAGAATACTTCTCTAAAATTCACTTTTTCTATTTTAGAACAAATAATCTTTAGGTAGTAATCCAAACATTGATATCCAGCAACCTTTGGCACCGAGTTTTCTTCTAACATAGAAGAGTTCACTTTGAGAGGTGCTCAGTTATCATTCTATCTATGCTGTAAGTATGGGACTTTGTACAAATGCCCTCTTTGAGGGCCAACAATTTCAATTACACTTTGTTCTACTCTGTGAACCAAGTCTGGATCTGCACAGAGAATGTAATGCTGAGCTGTCCAAAGAGCCCTGCTCAGGTCTCCTCCTAACCCTTCTATACTTTCCCCTAGTTTGCCTCTCTTCAGGTTTGACACTGAGGAGTACATAGTCTTCAACAGAAACAACACTACAGTTCTCATTGAAAACCAAACCAGTATATTTCTGGAAACTGCTTGTCTAAAGTAGTCAATGCCTTTGTAAAGACTTAGCATATTCAATGTCTATTGTATTGTAGATAGCTATATACATAGGCAGATTGACTATTTTTGTGTATCATTGAGCTATAGTAGTTTGCTTTATCCATTTGTGGGATTAAACACTACTGTTAAATGGTTGTAAACTTCTATAAAATCTCTTTGGGTTTTTTGTTTGACCCAAATATAATGTAAGTCTCAATGACAAAATACACAAAGCCAACCAGAGGTGGGGGAAAATACAGCCCTTCCCCAATTTTGTCTACCCATATAATACAAGTGTAATGCTTTGTGATTTGTTCTTACTAGCATGAATGTGCTATAGCTACTTCATGAGGTTGTTTCATCTATTAATTGTGATGGAAAATACTGTATCACTAACAACAATGAACTGTAATCACACTTATTTACTGCATAAATTGTCAACTAACCACTCATGGCTCTGTTTCTTTAAGAACATCAACAAAAACCACACCACACATACTTTGTTTTGTTCCTAAAATATTAAATTTCTGTCCTTGCAAATTGCATCTTGATATATGCTATAAAGGCAGGTGGGAAGGGATCCCACCCAAATGAGTTCATCTTAATTTCACTACAGTATAAGTATATGCTCTCTAAATTTTTAAGACTAACACATCTCCAAGTGCTAGTCAAACAGGTGTCTCCCATATGGCAGGGCTCGGCCTTCCCTGGTAGGTCAGAACCAGGTGGCAGGCTTAGGACCCAGACTTAATCTCTGTACACAACCTGTTTCTCCCCTGAATAGCCTCAGGGCCACAGAGACATCATCTGAACCTTAGCCAGAATATCAGAGCCAGAAGGGACTTAGCATCCCATACTTCACATTTTGGGAGTGCTTAGGTACATCAACCCCATCTGGTTATAGTATGAGACCTGAGGCTCTAAAGAGTGCTAAGAGATTTGACCAAGGCTGAAAAGAATTAGTGACAAAGGCAGAACTAAAAGTCCAGGCCTCAAAGGAGTATAAACCCTTTATCACAATGGTGTCTTTCCTCAGTCCTCTCTGGAATCTCGCACCCAACAACCCATTGTACTACAGACCAGTCTCCATTATAAAGGTAGGGGTAGATCCTTTGGAAGGGGCTACTCTTGAATCTCAGAATATCTCTTCTTTTAAAATTATCCTCCATGGCATGAAGAGTGTTCATCTCTCCCCAACTATTTCCTTGTCTCTTTTACTCTTGTTGCCTCCTCTCATGTTTCTTAAGGATAAACGTATCAAGTTCTTACTGAGTACCTACCAAATACAGGCCTGGCTTACACTCAGGTAGACAGAAGAGGAAGAAATAGTCCCAGGTTTGAGGAATTTGCACTCTAGTGGGGGAGGGAAGCAAACTTAGAGAATAAATTAAGACATTAAGACTTCTTTGGAGGGCAGTGGTAACTTAGGGGTAGAGAAAGTGGAGAACAATTAGAATTCCAAGGGACAATTCAGTGTCCAATACTTCTCCCCTAATCAAAGATGGCAAATAAACTAGTCTAGCCATATCCCTCTCCAACTCACTACTCTGGCCTCCTGGCCTACCCAGTCCTTCATATCATGTCCCAATTATCCTGGAACATGCACTGGTGCCCCAAACCATGATCTTTGTCAACCTTTTCAGATTTTTCCCTTCCTTCTGCTTCTCATTCTGACTAGGAAGGAAAGTCTTGCCTTTGAAGACACAGTACTAATATCATCTCCTCTATCAATCTATCTGATCTTATGGTCCAGCCATTATTAGTTCTTCTCCCAAGTAGGCTCTGCAGGAATATTGAACAATACTTGTCACTTTCTTATGTTGGCACAGTCTCCACAAGACAGGAAGTTCCTGGGGGGGAGGGCAGAAACCATGTTCTTTATCATTGATGAATTATTCCTATCAGAGAGGGTCTCTCAGTTACTGTTGTTGAATAATAATATAATCTATGTATAAATGTAAACAATGTAACCTAATTATGTGTACCTTCACATTAATCTGAAATTTAAAGAAAAGAAAAAATATATAATCTATGCTCCCTTTCCTTGACCCCCATCCTTGTTTCTCAGTTGAATGTGGGAAGACTTAAGTCTCAGACTTAAAATCTGTTTCTGATCTCTAATCAGAAGTAAAAGGTCGAAGGGCACCAGGTTAAGATTGCTTCTAGGTAGCTCCACCTCCTCCTTCTCAGTCTGGTCTTTCAACCTGGACTTGAAAATCACAGGTTTCAGGACTCCAAACAATGACCATTGGTTTTTAGTCTCTGGACCTGCACTAGAAATGAGTTCAGAAAATCTCCTCATCTTTAACCTAGTCATTGAAGGCCAGTGGAAAGTGCTTTGTCCTGGTATATATAGAGACCCAAATCCTGAGTTCAAGGCTCACCAACTTTGGCACAAATCTGTACCACTCACACATACAAAACTTGATACATTTTACATAGCACGTTCACATCTATTGTTTTGATCCTTATAATAGCAATATGAGGCAAATATTATCCTCCTCTTGTAGATAAAGAAACCATGGAATGATATGCCCAAGGCTGCTCCTGTTAAATAGTGGAGCTCACCTGGAAACTATGTCTTTGGACTTCAGTGCACATCAGAATCACCTGAAGGGCTTGTTAAACCATATATTGTTCCCACCCTCAACCTTTACGATTCAGGTCAGGAGTAGGGGACAATAATTTGCATTTTTAACAAGTATCCAGGTGATGCTGTTAGAAGAAAAGTATTAATCTATACCAAACTATTTACAAGCTCTGTGGCCATGGGCAAATCCCTTCCTATCTGCCTCATGTCTATTCAATCCATACACTGATGGGGCTAGACTAGAACTGGGACTTCCCAACTTTCCTTTCTTAGCAGCAAAACCCATCTTTCAAGAGAAATCTTACAGATTATTCCAATAAATACACAATAGATAACTCTGGTACATTGGTGAAGGGGAACTGAGCTTGCAGCACTTATCTCTCCATGGAGCAGGTAGTGGTATACCTCCCAAAGCACATATTTGCAAATACCTTCCATAGATGTGACCTAGATGCTCTTTGAGGGCTCTTACCAACTAACATTCCAAGCTGCTGAAAGGCTTTTCATATTTTCCATTGGGAGAGAAAAGGGAAGAGTTGGAGGCAAACTGACTGCATTAACCAGTACACAAAATTGCTTCACCCATGCCATAGGCGAGTGATTTTCAACTGGTGTGTCATGAAAAATTTTAAAGATCATTATTTTCAAAATAAGTTCAAAGAACAGTAAAACAGTAAGTATATTCTTTTTTTGGGGGGGTCATCATAATTCAAGTGTGTCGTGAAGTTTAACTATAGGTTCAAGTGTGTCGTGTGATTAAAAAAAAAAAAAGGTTGAAAAATACTGCCATAGGCCTAGACAGGAAAGGGAATCCTTGTTGGGCAAATAGACCCCTCTGACAATATGACAAAAGCTATGAGCCAGCTTCCTAGAAAATAATGATATATACTTACAAAGATATTTGCTATGCCTTTCTAATGTTGTAGACACCCTAGAGGTCCTAACTCATTTAAACCCTTGATTGGGTCCTGGCAGAATTTCCAACAAATTTTTCCTTGGCATAAGCTGTCCTTCCTCTCATATTTTGGTGCAGCCACTTACAGCAATCCCTGAACTTGGAGAGGCATTATTGGGTTAAATCACTTAGTGACTGTTCTTCATCACTGGACTGAAGGCTCTGAGTGGTGAAAACATGGTTTACTCATCCTCTCTTAACAGCTCAGGACTGACACAGGAAAAAGCACTCTAAGATGAGGTGAGAGTGTCTGGGAAGGGATTAGATGACCACAGAGAAGAGGCTTTAGGACAGTGGTTCTCAACCTTCGTAATACCATGACCCTTTAACAGCTCCTCATGTTGTGGTGACCCCCAACCATAAATTTTTTTTTGCTACTTCATAACTGTAATTTTGCTACTGTTATGAATCATAATGTAAATATCTGATATGCAGGATATATTTTCATTGTTACAAAGGGGTTGCAACCCACAGGTTGAGAACGGCTGCTCTAGGACAATCCCTAAGACATTCTGTGGCTCCAGGCCCACCACAGGGAAGCCCATTCTATCCTTTCTAAGCTGGAAAAAAAATACACAATTGACAAAGAGAAGCTTCTCTCTGGTTTTTAACTGCTGTTTGGTGCCCACCGAAGGCAGGCAGGGAGATGAGCAGAAAGCCTGCTGGTAGCAGCAGAAGTCCATGAATGATCTAACTTCTGGCTGCACTCAGTAGCCAGCAACACTTCTCTGAGGCCTGATGCTGCCTCCCATCATACAATAGCTGAGGGGAGCAAAAATGGTTTGAGGAGTCAGGCAGAAGGTATGGGAGGTAGCTGGTTGTGGAAGCAATCAGGGCCAATGGGCCCAAAGGGTTTCAAAACCTACCTCCTGCTCAAAGCTCTGTTATAATCCCACCTTCTCTGGAGCCCCCACAGTAAAGGGAAAACTGCATTGGTCTACCCCAGCACCCACCTCCTTCATCTCACAAACACCAAAATAACAGTTGCCTGTTTAATTGTTTTTAGAAACAAAACAAACCCAAAAGACATTCAAAATTCCATTGTGGTAGAAAGCTGTGTTGATGTAGCTGATCCAGGCTGTCTTTCAGGTTGTCTCAGGGAACACTGGGGCATGGGCTGTTGCCCTGGCAGGGCTAGATGAACACTTGCACCAGGACTGACATCAGAAGAGCTGCAGGTCAGTTTTGAGCCCATGCAGCTGCCCCTGGCTCCAGAGAAGGCCCTCAAAGTTGCTGCTGCTGCTGTTACTGCAGTTTCCACTGCTGACACCACAGGTCAGGCCCAGGGTGCTGAAGAGAGAGTGGGAGGTCAGTCAAGGAAGGAGGCAGCTTTAAGCTCTAGATGCGCCAAGGGCACTTGACATGTGTTATCTGTGGGAAAGGCCCACCCTCTTGCCTGGCTTTATAAAGTAAGGACTGGAGGAAATATGACAGACTTCAGATGAGCCTCAGGGGTAGCTCTGACCTCTCCTCAGTTCAGGAAGGGATCTATCTTCCTCCAGGAAGGAGTCGAACTTTTCAAATGAAGCTTTACGCAGAGTCCAACTACATAAACCAGATTAAAGAAGAGCTGTTTGGGTTGAAAGAGGGGAAGGGACTTTAATACTATCCCACCCCCAGGAAAACACTGAATGTAGCTTTTTTTTTTTTTTGAGACAGAGCCTCAAGCTGTCCCCCTGGGTAGAGTGCCATGACATCACAGCTCACAGCAACCTCCAACTCCTGGGCTCAAGCGAGTCTCCTGCCTCAGCATCCCAAGGAGCTGGGACCACAGGTGCCCGCCATGCCTGGCTATTTTTTGGTTGCAGCCGTCATTGTTGTTTGGTGGGCCCGGGCTGGATTTGAACCTGCCATCTTAAGTGTATGTGGCTGGCGCCTAAGCCACTTGAGCCACAGGCGCCAAGCCTGAATGTAGCTTTCTTAACAGGGCCTCCTCCTAAGGTTCTAGAACTTGGGGGCCCAGAGGAATCTGGCGCTGAATTCTTCCCACACCTAATAGTTGGTTAAGCAACTAGGCCCTGTTCCCATCCCACAATTGCAAGATTGCCTCTAGGGATAGTGGCTCTGCCTTCCCTCTTGCTGCCCTGCTAAAAACACTCTTGCTTCCACTGCTTCCTTGAAAGTCAAAGGTCCTTTAGCTGGATGTAGGTAACATCATCTTTTCCCGTAGGCAGATTCATAGTTACATTACTGCCACTGAATAAACCCTTAGAGATGCTCTAGTTTCATCCTTTCCCATAACCCACAATCCTATAGATAAACTGAGGCCCAGAGATGAGAAAGGGCTTGCCCAAGGCTACAGAGCCAAGTCAGGGGTGGAACTGACACAAGAACAGAGGCAGGCACACCCCTTCCCAGAAGAGGAAGCCTCCTTACTACAGGGTACGTGGGGAGCTGGGCTGGATAAGCTTTCTTCTTGATCAGCTCTACCTGCCCACACTTCATCCTTGATGCCCTGGTGCTCAGAGAGCCAGTCTTACCTAGGACCAGGCTAGTTGGGACTGAGGGGAGAATGAGCCTCTTTCTGACATGTGAACCCCACTGCCAGCTACAAACTACCTGGCTTTTCCAACTGCCTCTTCTCTTCTCTAAGAGGTTTGTTGCCCTCTGGCCTCAGACAGAGTCCATGGCATTGCCTTGGATATAGCTTGCTTCTGGGGCCCTTGGATTCTATGGCCCTCTTCCAGAATGCCCATCTCCCAGGGAATGAGCTGACAGTACAAGGATAAACTCTCAATTTCAGGAGCCTATAGGAGTCTCTCTCTTTAGTGACAATGGCCCAACATTCTGGAATGTATAGGCCTTCTTGATGGGCTCTTTTTTTGTGTTACCAGCATAGCCCCTCAGCAAGGGCTGCTTGATTCTTGGTTTCCCTTTTGATCCAAGGGCTCCCATGCCTGTGATCCCAAAGTGAATTTCAAAGGAGAGCAGGCCCTGCTACCAAGATGCCTACACAGTGTGGGGAAGCCTACTGATTACTCTGTGTACTTTTGAACAAATTCCTTCCCTTTTCTGGGCCTCAGTTTTATTTTCAGTAACATGAGAAAGCTAGATTAGAGTATCAGTTCTTGACCTTTTAGAAGTGGTAGGCCCTATAGAGAATCCATTGAATGCTATGGACCTTTCTCTTCCCAAAATGCACGTGCAAACAGGCACACCCACTCTCCCACATGCATGAACTGGATGCAATCTGAGGTGTGCCAGGACCACTATGTCACTGGCTGTCCACACTGGGAGCAGGGAGTCCTAGCAAGAGCCCAGCCAGGGACTGGAGATCATACTTCACTTTTTTAGGGACTGAGTGGGACAGTTACCTCTTCCCACTCTGCTACCCCATTTTGTCTCTTTCCCTCCTGCAGGCAGCAGAAAAAGAGAAAAAAAAGATCCTAAAAGATCCTGCTGCTGTGGGCACTCACCCAGTCTTGCACATTGGGCGTTCCAGCCGCTGCTCTAGCACAGGCTGGTCCAAAAGATACATGGTGTCATAATTCTCCAGCATGAGCTCTGCTGGGTCCTCGGTCTGACCTGGCATTCGGCCTAGGGGGAATGTGTCCCATCGCACGTCTTCTGTAGAGCAAAGGGAGGTGGCAAGAATGGGCTGACAAGCTGGTTCTCTTGATTGGTACACAGGCCAACTGCCCCTGTACATCTACCCATCCCACTTAACCATCTCTGCAAGGGCAGGATCTCTGAGTTTATCTCCAAATGAGTACCCCACCATACATCTGCACTCTACCACACATTCTTTATGGCCTTTCTTCCCCTCTACATGTTTATATACATACACATACACAAACAAAACCAGACACATTTTTGTTGCTTTCTGCTCTTTTCCCACTTCCCCAGGTATGTTCCCACACAGACAACATCTTTAGATGGGCCTGTATCACTGCCTCTGCCTCTCACCCTCAACCCTATTCCCCCGTGTAGACTGATAGACAGACAGACAGACACACACACCCCTGGTACCCTTGCCACATCCTTTCTTAGTAGCCAAGCCTGGAGATAGACATACATACACCCATAACTACACCTCAGGGTAGTCTCTCAGAGGGAGTACGCTAACCCCGTCTCATGCAAGGTCTTCTTACCACAGATGCACACTTAGAGAACACTCCTCTTTTAGAGCAGGGCTGTGTCACTGCACATGCCACCCCCATGGTCACCCAAGTATGTACCTGGAAGCATACGTACCAAACCCATCACTCATCCAGTTTCACTCCCTGCCCCCCAGATCTCTCATTCACTAGCACACAAACCACAAATCTTTAGGTCTCTACTCCCCCACATGAATGTACATACACACAAACACAGAGAGAGAGAGAGACATCAAGGGTGCACTGGCAAAGCTATTGCCTGGGTAGAGCTCACAGCACCCTCCAACTCATGGGCTTAAGCAATTCTCTTGCCTCAGCCTCCCAAGCAGAGGACTCCAGGCTGGGACTACAGGCACCCGCTACAATGCCTGGCTATTTTTTGGTTGTAGTTGTCATTGTTTGGCAGGCCTGGGCCGGATTCGAACTCGCCAGATCTGGTGTATGTGGCTGGCACCTTAGCCGCTTGAGCTACAGGTGCCAAGCCACATTTACATCCCTTGCCCATGGCACACAAACATGCAGATATACACTTTAGGTTGGGCCAGGCCATGCACTTTCCACCCCTCTCTCTCTTATCACTTAGACAACCTCCACACAGTATTATATTAAATTTCCCTCCTCATCTTCATACAAATGCACCGAGTGTTTTCAAGTGAAGCCTTCGCCAGTGAGCTCCACAGATTCTGTTTTTGGCCTCCTGTATCTCCCTGATACTCAAATAATTCTCCCTGTCATAATGCCCTTAGGATTCTGTGACATATTAACTAACCCCCAACCAGATATTTATGTAACCTCGAGAGAAGCTCCTCAGGAAGGGCTATTGCTCTTCCTGCTCACCACTGCACTGGTTCTCTTATAGAAAGCTGTGCCTGTCTTAACACCCTGTATTACCCTATGATACAGATACAACTTCATGTACAGAGGCCACTCCCCATATAGGCTCTCTGTCATTGACCTGACCATGCATCACTAACATCCCTAACCCTGTCTACATCACTGCTCCTGCCCCTTTAGCCACTTTGTACATGTCTTCTCAGTGATAGCATGGACACACAGGCCAACTCTCACTACTAGTTCCCATGTCCCTCCATAGACCCCCACCTCTCATTGCTGTCATTTTTTCTCCCTCATACAGATATTTCTTGGTCTTCATGGTTCTCAGTGGCTGATTCCTCTTCCAAACATACATGACTGTACATACATGGTTACACCGCTGCATGACAACCTGCTTCATCATGACTTCTCCTTTCACTGTTCCTTCTTTGCTTTCCTTTTTTTTTCTTTACTGACAAAGTCTCATTCCATCACCCTGGATAAAGTTCTGTGGCCACAGCAACCTCAAACTCTTGGGCTCAAGTGATCCTCTTGACTTTAGCTTCCTGAGTAGCAGGGATTTTAGGCACCTGCCACAATACCCAACTAATTTTTCTATTTTTAGTAGAGATAGGACCTTGCTCTTATTCTTGCTTAGACTGGTCTAGCACTCCTGAGCTCAAGAAATCCACCCATCTCAGACTTCCAAAATGCTGGGATTACAGGGATGAGCCACCCCACCCAGGTTTTCCCTTCTTTTCTCTCTCTTATAAATACACAAACACATAGCCGGGCATTGTGGCCGGTGCCTGTAGTCCCAGCTACTCGGGAGACTGAGGAAAGAGAATTGCCTAAGCCCAAGAGTTTGAGGTTGCTGTGAGCTGTGATGCCACAGCACTCTGCCGAGGGCAACAACAACACAAAAATAAAGACACATATACACAATTCTGCCTGAGCCAATGCCTCTCCCTTTCAATATTTAGAGACCACCAAACATAGACCTCCTTAGCCTAAAAGATTTCTGTCAGTATGCCATGGTTTGTCTAGCAAGTGAAGGTACAAACACAAACACCGTCTCTCACACACACACAGACATAAACCTATACCCCCATCCCTGGCACTAGGGCCTTTACAACCTAGCCCTTCCAAGTACATTCATACAAAGACAAAAGTCACACTTTTCCCCTTACACCAATTCACTGCCTCCCCCTGACTCTCTGCTATTGCCTACCCAGCTAAACCACACCCAAATCCAGCTGTTCTCCCTCCCTCCCTGAGGCTCCAGCACATAGGTCAGGCCCCTGCCTCTGGTGTGTACACATAAACACATCCCCATGCTCACACACCAGTTTTTCATTCCTCCTGGGTCTCTCTGCTTTGAGGTTCCTGCTCCCTAACCTAAAAAAGAGTACTACAAAGACCATCCTGAAAGGAGCAGATTCCTATCACCAACCCTTCCTGTAACTCCCTCTTGGCTTTGGTCTCACCAACTTATGTGCTCACCTGAAAACCACAGTACTCCTTAGTTTCTCTTCTGATTTCACTTCACTGACTTAATGCCCTGGGTTCCTTCTGTCTAATACAGCAAAATCCTATCTCACCATCACCCAGCCTCCATGTGTACACAGACACACAAATGTACACAGAAGACAGTACATGTCTCAGTGTACATGAAAAACACATGCACATGAAAAATATACATACATATATACCCCCTATCTCTCACTTTCTCCTGCCTCTGTGTTATGACCCTGTGCCCATATCCACACCATTCTCTCAGAATATGCTCGCTACATAAAACAGCCAGGAGCCTGACAGTGGTCTCTTCCATGCTCATATGCTCCATCCTAAGGAGGGGGAGAAGCTAGCTGTCATCCATGTACCAGGGTGCCTCCCAGGCTTGCCTCAAACTGGCTACCTCCTGCTACTTTCTCTTTCCTATGGGGTGGGAAGCCTCAAGAACCAGCCAGAGAGGGAAGAAACTGATGCAAGGAGAAAGAGGATCATCAGGCTTCTTACCTGAGCTAACCTGCCATGCAGAGCCCTGTAGAGCTCCTCTTTTCTGTGCCAGGAGCCTGGCATTCTCGGTAGTGGGGGACTCCTGCCCTGTAGAGATAGGCCCCACCTCCATTCTGTCTTCATCATCATCACCATTGTCATCATCGTCGTCATCATCGTCGTCATCTTCATCTTCTTCATCCTCTTCCTCCTGGTCATTTTCTTTCTCCTCCTCTTCCTCCTCCCCCTCCTCCTCTTCCTCCACCTGGTCTTGCAAGACCACTTTCTCTTCCTTCTCCTCTTCTTTGACATCATTAATGCTTCCCTGTGCCTCCTGCTGCCGAACCTTTCCTTCAGACCCAAAGCTGGAGCCAGTTGGTTTGAGGCTCCAATACAGGCTGTCCAGAGTATATGGAGACTTCCCAATGGGGGAGGCCTCGCAACCCTCCTGCACCAGGCTGTTTTCACCACTCTGGGTATAAATGGAACAGATGCGCAGCAGCTTCTCCTGCTCTCCGTCTGGCAGGACCTGCCCCATGGCTTTGAAGATGCTGAGCAAAGGGAGGGATGGAGTAGGAAAGATTCAAAATCTGAAGTCACTTCACACCCCAATACTCCAGGGTTTGAATTTGGTATCTGAGCTTCCAGACCTGCCTCTGAAAGGCAGTGTAGTAGAGCAGACAGAACATAGAAACAACAGAACCATGGACCCTGAATAAGCTCTGTGGTTCATATCTGTGCCTCACTTCCATTCTCAGTAAAATTAGGACAATAATGTTACTTAACATATAGGGTTGTTGGAAGGAGTAATAAGAAAGCTCACATAGAATGCCTGGCACAGTGCCTGGCACATAGTGGGCATGCAATAAATGATAGCTATTAATCTGCACTGAGATGTTATGTAAATACACAATAAGCCTATAGGGCTAGAAATGAGAATGGAAAATCTCTCTCCTCTGGCTTAGCTGAGCACTCTGTCCTAAGCTCCAAAGATATGCCTAGAAGTGTGCTGAGCCCTTTCTGCATAGAACACAAAGTGTGATCCCTTTATGGGAGCAGCTACAGCCCAGCTCAGAATGAAAAAAAAAAAAAAAAAAAGAAAAAGAAAAGCAGAAATTGACAAGACAAAGCAGGATGTGGGAGGCAGGCCATATGAGCACTTAGGACCTACTATGGGCACTGCGGGGATTGGGAAGGCAGAGAGTATAAGGGCAGGAGATAACAAGGACGGCATGCAGGAGGTAAGGCCCAGGAGGCCCAGAGACGAGGGCTAGCACACAGTATTGCTGCGTGTGGTGAGAGTAGCCCAGCTAGAGGGCATGGCCCATGATGAGGAGCCATGGGAGGAAGAGAAGGCTGGGAAGGTGAGAGTGAGTGTGTGTATGTGTGTATGTGTGTGTGTGTGCGCGCGCGCATGTGTGTACGTCTGTTGGTTTGGAGGGGGTCACCTGTCAACTCTGAGCACAGGTGAAGATCACCATGGTGATGGCCATGTCGAAGCTGGCCTGGAAAGGGCAGCCTGGAGGCAGGGAGACCAGGGAAATTGTTCCCACAGTTCAGGGTAAAGTTGGGGAGGGCTGACCTGGGGCACTAGCAGTGGAGATGAGAGGGAGAGAAGCTGTAAAGGACACACAGACAAAGAGCAAGGCTTGGTGACAGATGGCAGGGTCAGGCAGAGGAGACTTAAAGATGATGATACCGTGCACACAAAAGACGGCGCTAACAGCAAAACCAACAGACACAGAGCTGCTGGGAAGGAGAGCTCGAGGGAAGGAAGAAGGCGAGTACCCTTCACAGAGCCTCATATAGAACCTGTCATCAAACAGGCATCTGGTCACTGCTGGACACACAGGTGGGTGGGGTGGAGGAATGGAGAGTTTCCTTCTGGATGTATCGAGTTGGAAATAGCTCTGAGAGATGGAAATGGGTTGCTGAATGTAGCTCATTTCATGAGAGGCCATCAGGTCAGCAGACTTCTTTCTCTGTAGATACATGCAGACCAGTCGCTGGTCTGTTGGGTTAGGGGTGGAGGCTAGTGGCTCCACTGGGAGACTAGGAGAGCCTCTCTACAGAGCTAATTTCATATTATGAAAGAATATTGGCTAGAATTAAACTGATATTGGCTGGCTGGAGGAAGCTCTTGAAAAGCTGCCAGCTTTATCAGAGGAATAGCCAGGGAGAAACTCTCTGTCCTCTTCATTGTGGTCCATTAGTGTGATTAATTTATCTTGAGTTGTCTAGGCTGACCAGTAAGATGCAGAGGTGATATGAATCTTAAACTGTATCCTTTTCTTTGGTTATGCCTGGTCATAGCTCTGGACTGAGAAGGTCATAGGCTGATGAACAAAGATCAACTTTCGACTCATATGACCTGGGCCCAGATCCCTGTCCCACCACCAACAAAGTGTATTTAAGTCATGTCACTCACTCCTCAGAGCCTCAATGTCTTATCTGTCAAATAAGGGCGTAACACCTCCAACCTCCCAAGATTGCTGTGTCAAATTAAATGAAATAACCTCTACAAAAAAACACAGCACCATACCTGACACTTAATTGTGAATGATATCCTTTTTATTTTTTCTCTGGGGAAAACAAAAGCCAAGTTCTATGTGTCTATAACATATGCTTTCTGCAATAGTGGAGCATTATAGAAGAGAACAAGACTAAAGGAAGGCTATCTGGATTCTGGTCCCAGCTCTGACTTGCAGCATAATACCCGGGTAAATTCTCTGTTCCTTACTCTGTGTAATGGGGTGATTAGGACTGCATTCACTGATTATCTGGGAAAGGGAGGATCTGTACACAAGAAATCATACCCAAGAAAGGTGCTGTTACTGCTGGCATGTGTCGCATCCCTCTGGTATGCTTGGGTTGGGAGATCTCTGTGGTCCAGACTTCTCCAAGACCAGCAGCTTCCACTCTGCAAGCACTTAGGATTGGAAAGTACCTTGAAGGCCACCTATCCAAACCTCTCCATGCTGCTCTTTTCACTCCCTCCCCACCCATTACATACATATGCCATATTCCTTCTGGACTTTGAAACTTCATTATTTCTCCTCAGTGAATTTTTCAAATTCCTGCTTTCTGTTGTTCTTCCTGACTCCTCCAGGCCCTGTTTGTTCTCCTCCCAGTTTTCCACCCATCCATGTCACTTCTAGCCTGTAGCACACACATCTGGTGATGGGGCTATTTGGCTCAGTTCCATCTCCTGGAGGTCTTGTGTTGGCTGACTTTGTCTACAAGGCCACAACTTTTATCTTATAAATCCTTCTGTGTCTCAATTGCAATCAGAGTTCAAGAAAGACTTCTGGACTCAATAGGGTAATCAGGGACTAAGAGGGTCTTGGCATCCAGACTCCCACTTCATTCATTACCCCAGTCATTCCCACCAAGGATAGCAATGCTGGCAATAAGACAGCAGAGCACAGTTCAGTTCAATGACGTTTACTGAGGCCTGTTTGGCTCCTGGACTTGTGTTGTGTCCTGGTGCACATACAGAAAATGCAGAGCCCTTGGAAAGCTTATTCTGATAGAGGGAAGGAGACACTAGGGGAAGTAGACACAGCAACACAAAACCTCAGATTTGGAAAGTATTTGAGAGTTAACAGGACAGGGTAGATGATGCTGCCTGCCAACAAGTGAGATAGGCCACGGAGGAGGAAGATTACTTTGGAGTTGAGGTGGTGAATAAGATGACCAATTCTCTTTTGGTCACAGTAAAATGCCTGTGGGCCATCCAAGGGGTGATGTCCAATATATAGTTGAGTATAGGAGCCTGAATCTCAGGGGAAAGGTCTAGGCTAGATAAAGAGATTTGGGCTTAGCACTTTATAGGAACTAGTAATAAGCACAGGCATTACAAGGAGGGAGTGGTAAACAGCATCAATGCAGCAGACATAGAGACTGACAACGGCCCACTGGATTTGGTAATCATTAGGAGGTCAAGGCAACTTTGGGGGTGAATGTCAAATTGCAGGAGACTGAGGAGTAAGAGGGTAGTGAGGAATTCGAGACTGTTGAGTGTAGACTACTCTTTTGAGATGTTTTGATGGGAGTGAGGGAGTGATGAGCTGCTAATAACCCAACAGAGGGATGCAGGATCAAAGGAAATTTTGCTTGTGTTGCTGTTATTGTTTTTTGTTCTGTTTTGTTTTAAGATGAGAAAAACTCAGGCACGTTCATAGGTTGAAGAGCAAGAGCCAGCAGAGTAAAGGAGAGGCTGGGGTGAGGCCCCAGTGATGCTGGCAGAGGTGTCTCCAGAGCACAGGTGGAGGAGCAGGCTTTGAGGCAGGGCAAGGCCATCTCATCCTGAGACTGGCGAGAAGGTTGAGTGCAGCCGCAGATCAGTTCACGAGGGCTGGACCTCAGGTCGAGGGGGCCCTGCTGGATGCCTCCATGTGCTCGAGGAAGCTAGGGTGAAATGGGAGAGGGGGAGGGGCTTGAGGTGAGTGGTAAGGGTTTAGAATAGTCAGGAAATGGGAGAGAAAGTGGTCAGAAAACAAGTAAAAGTTCAGACAAGCAGAACTGAGGCCTGGCCCAAGATTAAAAACCATACCTCTGCAATGGCAGCAATCCGCAGGGCTATGTGGTTTTCTCCAGCAGAGCTCAGCTACCCGGGCTGAGGAGCAGGGAAAGCAGAATGGGGAAGATCAATCCCAGCTCAGGGGTTTGCAAGTCAGATACGGCCAAAGGCTGGGCAGAGCTGAGGTTGCTAATGATGAGTGGCTGAATTGATCAACCACAAACAGGATCGAGGGGAAGCAAGGTCCAGGGAGGTAGGAAATGGAGGGATGGAGGCTTGGATGCAGGCAAAGAGCAGATGTCATGAGATGCAAGGGTGAGAACTAGAAGGACAAGAGGTGGTGGTCACCGAGGGAGATGCTGGGATGTCAGCTTTCAGAGGTGGAATAGCTCTGAGAGATGGAAATGGGTTGCTGAGTGTAGTGGAGAATGAAAGTCACCGGAGTTGAGGAGCTATAGAGTGTCATATGGGTCACCCAAATGAAATAGATATTGCTCCAGAAAGCAGAAAGAGAATCAGGTGCTAAAGGCTTCCATGAGTATGAGGGAAGTGACTCAGGGTTAGGAAATGACAGAGAAAAGGAAAGGAAACAACCACAGGTATTTACAGGAACCAGTGCAATATTCAGTTTGACCACAGAACCCAGGGTGGATTGGGTAAAGGGGACTCACAGGAGATACGGTTATCATGCTAGGTTGGGCCAGAATCAGAAAGATCTTTGAAAGTCAGGCTAAGAAGCCTAGACTCCACCAGCAAGGCAATAGGGAATCCACTAAAGGTTGCTAAGCAACTATCAGAAGTATACTTTGGGTATATAATAGAGGAGACAGCACTGGGCTTAGAGTCAGAAGACCTGGGTTCAATAATAAACAGCAGCTACCATTTATTGTGTACTTACTCTGTGCAGGCCACTGTGCTAAGCACTCTAGGGGGATTGTCTCATCCATTCTCATACTGGACTCAGTTCAGTAAGGTTTTATGCTGTATGATATTAGGCAAGAATACCCTCTCCCTTCCCTCTCTGGACTCAGTTTTCCCATCTGTAGGTGGAATGAGGACTGACCTAGACTGTCCTTGAAAGGGCCCTTCCAACTTGGCCATTCTAGGGCTGTGTGGCTTGTAGGGCCTCACCCTCTTACCAGATGGAATTAAGAGACTTACAGCTGAAGGAGTTGGGGGCTGGCCCAGCAAGGTGAGCCCAAGCAGGACTCCACCACCTGAGGCCAGTCAATTGAGGTGGAGCAGTTAAACAGCCTCCAGCTCCTCCTTGCTTCCCACTGGCTTGCAGAAAATCGACGAGCATTCCGTCCTGAGAGAGAAGAGAAAGCCTGAGGAGAAGGAAGCAGTGAACCCCCCGCCCAACTTTCACCTTGAAGTTTGGCTCTGTTCTTCCCCATCCCCAAGTCTCCCCATCTATACTTCCCAACTGCTCAAAGCATTTAGGGTACTTTACCCCAGCCCAGTTCAGTTGGTGCTAAGAAGAAAAAGGAAGAGGGAAATTTTCCACTGTTGCCATAGGGCCCAACTGGGCAAACCTAAACCTTTAACAAGGGAAGTGTCCACCTGGTACTTCTCAGCAGAGAGCTGAGGACAGTGGCAGATGTTCCTGCCTGGGCTGCCTTAGGCCCTGGGTCTAAGGCTAGTCTCCCTCACCAGTTTTGGTGTTGGCCACGATCAGTTCAACGGTCCATCTGAGGATGTAGGTGGGCCGGATCCCACTGTCCCCCAAGGCTGGCAGCTCAGAGAACATCCTCTCCAGCAGGGCCTGTGTGAAGGTCTGGGAGTGCAGGCCCCTAAGCAAGGGCTGCCAGAACTGAGAGAATGGCTTTGGTACCAGGATGTCACTCAAGTCCACGTTTTCTGGTTTGTAAGGGACATCCATTGGGGAGGAGAAATAAATGGAAGAAAGCAAGAAAAAGCAACAGAGAGAGAAAAAAAGAAAGCACACCAGAGCAAGAGAGAAAGAATGTTTGTGTGCATGCACATGAACCAGCCCCGCCAGCACCAACAGAGTTGCCACCACAGAAAATAAGGAAAGAAGAGAGCAGAAAAGCAGGGAGAGAGAAGCCAGTTAGTATCTGGCAACAACTGACTCAAAAAGATTAAAAGAAAAAGAGCTCTGGGTCTAGCTTCAGCTTTGTTAATAACTCACTGTGTGACTTTGCATCAGTACCTTCCCCTCTCTGGACCTCAGTCTGACCATCTGTAACATGAGGATGTTAAACTAGACTTCATAAGGCCCTTCCAGTTCTGCTATTCTAGCTCTCTAGCTAGAAGCTAAATCACAATTAACATGGTACAATAATGGCATTAACACCCCACCCCCACCCTACCCCCACCCAATCCCACTCCAGATCACCTAAGGACAGCCCCACAAGTGTCATATCAGTGGAGCTATGGTTTTCTCAGCCAGGAGGTCTGTGAGGCTTCTGGAAGCTATGATATGACAGGACAAAACCCTTGCCCCCAGCCCAGAGCCCCTCAGCCTACCCCTGGTGTTCCCACCCAGGAAACACAGAGCCCTAAGACTGCAGTGAGGCCCCAGGACCCCACCTTCATAGTCTATCTGCAAAGCTGCCAGCTGCTCAAATGTGGGGATGAGGAAGCCGTCATCTAGAAAAGCATCCAGCACAGCCTCCCTGGAATAAGAGGATACTAGTTTAGCAAACTGAAGCTGGCAGAAGACACTCTCCTACTCTGTCACCCACCTCATTGGTGGGTGAGGTAGACTTCTGGCAAGAGCAGGGGCAGCACGCAAGTAGGAGAGGGGAGGAAGGCAGTTGAGAGATCTGAGACTTCAGCCTCCTAGGGAAGAGCTAGGACAGAAGCTGGGATCAGTGGGTTTTGAACAAAAATTGGCCAAGCACATGCTGATCTAAGACACATAATGAAGGCAGTAGTGGCTAAACAATCCTTAAAACAGACAGAGAAAAGCCTCTGGTCACCAGAGGAAGGAATTAAATGCCTAGGATCATGGAGTCAAGGGCTTTTAGACTTCAGTTCCTCCACGTCTTTTGGTTTCTCTTGACCATTCTTCAGTTCCATCCTCCGGAAGGCTGCCTTTTTTTAGATTCTAAAAGTAGAAACCTTGGAGATTCAATTGCTGGACCAAGTATGATCCACAGCCCTTATTCCTAGGGACTCCAAGAACTCAGAAAAATTCTAGCTCAAACCTACACCAGCAACAAAGGCATAAATACATTCATGATCTATGTATATGTGACTTAATAAAAGGAAAAAAATATAAAAAATAAAAAGAAAGAAAGCTGATTTCTCCAGAAGTAGTGGTTCCCCAAGAGGCTCTCTGCTATGGTTTGGATGTTTGTCCCTTCCAAATCTCATGCTGAAATTTGATCCCCAATATTGGAGAGTTACGGGGGCCAATCCCTCACGATGGTTTGGTGTCATCCTTCTGGTAACAAGTGAGTTCTCTCTTTATTAGCACCCCCCAACAAAGAGCTAGTTGTCAAAAAGAGCCTGACACTGTGCCCCAACTCTGCCTTGCTTTTTCTCTTACCATGTGCCATGTGATCTCCGCACACACCAGGTCCCCTTTACCTTCCACCATGAGTAGAAGCAGAAGGTCCTTATCAGAAGCAAATGCCAGCATCAAGCTTCTCAGAAGCCAAATAAACCTCTTTTCTTTACAAATTACCCAGTCTCAAGTATTTCTTTATAGCAACACTCTACAGACATTGACACTCTCCTCGCTGACTAGGCCCAGCGGGAGGGATGATTTACTAAGGTGCTTAGAGAGTTCCTTCCCTCCAGCAAACCAGGCTTGAGGACACAGCTGTCCTTCCATCTGTCTCCCAACTCCTTGGGTCAACATCCAAGAAGAATGCTTAAAGGACTGAGCCAGTTGCTTGCTCAGAACTACTACTATATAGAGCAGGGGTCCTCAAACTTTTTAAACAGGGGGCCAGTTCACTGTCCCTCAGACCATTCCAGGGCCAGACTGCGGGCCCCAGGACGAGTTGGCTGCTAAGCAGGACAGGCAGCGGCAGCAAAAACACCCGGTGGGCCGGATAAATGTCCTAGGTGGGCCACATGTGGCCCGTGGGCCGTAGTTTGAGGATGCCTGCTGTAAAGGCATAAAAATAACTTTTTCCAGCTGCTAAGGAGGCGACCTGTTGGCTGAAGAGTGAATCCAAGAAGCCCGGGCTGGGCAGACATCAATAAAACATCTTTGGAACTAGTATCCTGAGAATGAAAACTCCAGGGGCTATCACAGCCTACACTGATGACTCCCACCTAGGCCTGCTCTGCCACCTACAGCACCTACCTATACTCTCTGCTCCATCCCAGATTCCTTTCAACCTCTCCCTAGCTGCGAAGGTCTAGCAGTACCTCCAAAGGTTCTTAGTAGAAAGTTCCTCAAAACCCTTTGTACCTAAATTTAGGTAGAATGGCCCCAAGAGCAAAGGAGAAAAGAATGGATAGAGATATTATTCATATGCTCTAAATTGAGTTAAGCAGTATTTATTAGAAAAAAAGAAGGCTCATCACCATTCTGAGAGAAGGCCCTCTATGCCCTCAACTATTACTATCCAAGGGATACTGACACTCTCCAACAGCAGTTCAAAAGAAAAGATTAGCAGTGCCCACCACATATCTTTTACCTCAAACTTGGACAAGGCTAGGCAGTGAGGTGGTAAAGGTCAATGATTTTTCCTAGTTGCCAAGAGCTCCACATTCTACCTGACAGAAAGGAACAGGCTGACCAGAGGATGGATGATAGTGGGCACTCCAGCCTCTGGTAATTCTAGTGACTGAGAAGTAGGCAACTCCTACCTAGTGGCTGGCAGGAGTGGGATCAGAGGGTCATGCTGAATGTAGGGTCACTGTATGAGGGATCAGGACCATCCCTGTGATTTCATACAGCAGAGGTTGGCAAACTAGGATATGCAAACTGATTATAGTGGGGCTTCTACCTTCTAACCTAAAGAACAGGCACCCCCTGGTTACCTAGTTACATACCTGTTCTCCCATGTAATGCCCTTGAGCTCTGCCAGGATGCATTCTACACGTGGGGATGGGTTATTCCATGCCTTAATGGCCTGAGGTAAATGCCTAAATTTCTCCAACACCTGCTAGCAAAGAGGGTCCCATCAGAAGGCTGGTTCAGCCAGGCAACCCATTCCCACCTTTTCCAGGATCCCTTCACTTAGGACGTCTCAGCACTGCCCTGCAGAGGATAAGGCATGGCCTGAAGGGGTAGACCTCAAACTTCTGTATAAGCCCTGGAACTAAAATAACCTTTCAAATGTCAGACTTTCCCCTCCTTCTTCCTCCCTCTACTGAATTTCCTATGGCTCCCAACCATCAGATATCCCAATACTGAATTGTCTGATGGGGGTATTTGGTTGGAGATAGGCAGAGACCCTTAGGCTCAGAGTAAGGAGAGGCAATGGTTTATAGAAGAAGAAAGAGAATCAGAAAACCCAGGTTCTAATCCTGGTTCTATTATTAACTGTATAATGTGATCTTGAGTCTGTCCCTTTACTCATCTATGGCTTCAATTTCTTAGTCAGTGAAAAGGAAGGGTTGAGCTGAAATGGTTTATGTTATCGCCCTTCTAGGAAATCTCTTGCACCCCACCTGCTGGTCAGCTGCACAATTGTAGGGCTGTGCAACTACCCATTCCTGGTTGTTCCCTACTACCCAGTGGGGCAGATTATCCACAAACTTCATCATCTCCGTTTTATCAGTGTAGAGGATTAGGCAATTGGATTCAGCTCCTCTTGACTCCTTTTTAGTTCCCCTCTCTCTCTTTCAGATAAGTTCCCTCATGCTTTCCCACTTTTCTTTCTTCTTTTTTTTTTTTTTTTTTTTGCAGTTTTTGGCGAGGGCTGGGTTTGAACCCACCACCTCCAGTATATGGGGCCAGCGCCCTACTCCTTTGAGCCACAGGCACTGCCCTGCCACTTTTCTTTCAAATTCCTTCCTAAAACTTCTCTCAGGTAGCTGGCAAGAAGGAAGAAATGGCTATGGCAGGTGAGAGCACACCAGGGTCAAGGGTACTTCCTTACCTTAAATTGCTCCTCTTCATATGACACCAGCAGTTCTCTGGCTCTTTCTGGAAACAGAATAGGAAGACAGATAGGACTGCCAGCCCAGACCCTATTCCTGCTGGGATCTTGCTGAGCCCCTCTCAACTCATTATTTGTGTTGTAAATTGGGAGCCAGAATTCCTTCCCCTCCTACTACTTCACAGGGGTCAAGGAAGATGGTTTGTAAATCCAATGTGATAGCCACTACACTATGCAAACTGGCAAGGGAAGATGATTTGTATAATTTTTTTAAGGTGGGACTCACCACAGCCCAGAGGAAATGCTGAGCCAGGGAAATAGCCAGTGCTAACTCTAGACTGATCCTTCCAGGCTCATAGACACTCTCTGCCCCCAAGGGCACCTACCATATAGCTCTTTATGTCTCAGAGCCTTTTCAAAAGTAGAATCCACCTCTTTGTTGTCTTTGCTGTCACCATCAGTCCTGACATCTGACTCTGCATCTTTCTTAATGTCCTGAGGCTCTGATTTCAATTCTGTGATGGCATTAACAACATTTTTATCTTCTTGCTGGTCCTCTTCATCTGTCTCTTCTCTGTCTTCTTCTAACTCCCATGTCTCTCTAAGGCTATTCTCCAATTGGCGGCACCAATAGGCCTTCTGGAGCCAATCCAGGACAAAGTAGCAGCCTAGAGGAGGGGAGGAAGGCAGGCAGTATCATAAGACCAGCTATAGGCAAGCAACTGGCAGGCTCCCCACCTTCTCAGCCCCCAGCTTCATCTTGTGAGCATTATGGGAAGGTCTCAGAAAAGGGGCATGGCTCTAAGAAGGCTCAAGTCTCAAATATCCAAAAACAGCCTCTCTTACTCTGATCTATCTCTGTTTTTTGCTTTCCCCTGCTCACTATCACATTTCCTAGAAGTAACTAATACTGGATTTAGGAACAGGAAGTCAAATCCAAAAATGGGCTGACAAGTAAGAAAACTAGTTAGTTACATGGCCTTGACCAAGTCTTTCCCCTTTTCTAGATCTGTTTCCCCATCATAAGCAGCAAGGCTAAATCAGGGATTCTTAGCTGGGCTAGAGTAGGTGCCCAAAGATCTCCAGGCTTCACAGCACTGTTGTTGGCTCATGCCTCTCAACTCATCCATCTTCCCCAACTAGCATGAAGTAGATGAAGCTAATGAGGCACTAAATTTAAGGGGAGGCCAAAAACCTCTGTAGTCAAGGCTTCAAAACAAGGATCAGTTCAGTGCCCTGCCAAGCCATGTTGGAGCCTGAAGCAAAGGAGAAATCAGTAATAATAATCCTGTTTTGTTTAAAATTTTGAAATTCTGTTTATCCTGGATTTTTCCACATTATAATGTTATTTATCTTGATTACTGAAACTTTTGCCACTCCCTCTTCCTTAAATGTTGTGTACAAAGTGACTCACTTATCTCACCCCAGTCCCAGCCCTGACCCTGTGTGCCCCTCTACTCCAAGATCCCCCTAGCCCAGGTCCCTGGGCCTAACTTTGATAGATATAACCCCTGGAGACTCACCTCTGCGACAGTCATTTATATGGGGCATTTTCTTGTGGGTCAACTCATGACGAAGTTCAACAATCCAATCTGGAATGTTCACCTGATTATGGAGGAGGGCATGAGTACAAAAATAAGTAATATTAAAGTTGGAAGGAACTCAGAGATGAATGATTCTGACCTCCACCCCATTTTCCAGATAGAGAAACTGAGGTCCTGAGAGAAGATTCTAGTCTTAGTAGCAAACCCAAAATTAAAAACCAAGTCTCCTGATTCTTTTTTACTGTGCTATGGAGATGGTCTTGAAAATCACAAAAGGCATCTACCTCCCCCAAATACAAACCATTATCCTCCTACAAAGAGCTTCCTGTGAATGAGCATCAACAGTCACCTTCCTCAGCCTCTCTTCTTTCCCATCTCTCTCCCTGGTTATCTTTTACCCTTCCCTCTCTCCTACACCTCCAGTAGGAAGCTCCTCTGGATGACTGAGAACATGCCTGCTCTCAGGGTCTGTGTCAAATATACCACTCAGGGCAGGAATGTCTGGCATTTTCAACCTGCTTGGCTGAGCTACCTTCTCCCTCCAACTGCCACCTCTTTCATGTCCTTATCTACTAGCCCATTCTCAACAAGCTGCAGAGGCCAAGTCCCCTAAGATACTAGTCATAAGCAAGGGAACATTCTGGTTTATTTTACTTTTTAAGCTAGACACTGAGGCTCTAGGATTCTTTCTGAGCTTGGCTGATAGTTATGGTATGAGCTGGTCTGACTGTGTGCCACATTACCCCATGCCTTATTTAGCGAGCCTCTTGGAGAAAGAATTGAGCAAGGCCACTTTATCATACGTACCTCCTGAGCCAGGAACTTGAGGGGAAGCTTGGAAAACTTTGTCTTCCTCTCCGAGATAAGATTCACAAACCTGGAGTTGGAAAGAAATAAGTGGCACAGCCAAGGAACCATTTTACTCTGAACACCTTGCCGAGTTACTGACACCTTGCATTTCCACAACCTTTCCATTGCCTGTTCCATCTTGTTCTTATGGTTGGTGTCAGCCAGAGCAAGGATAGTTCCATCCACTCCTGTACTGAAAGTCATACAGATGAATAAGACACTGATCTGGCCTTGAAGAGTTTAGTCCAGGAAAATTAATCATGACATATTACACTAGAATGTAGTATGTTATAAATGCTAGAAACAAAGGACTACATCAAATGATAACATGGAGTACAATGGAGAAGGTAAAAAAAAAAAAAGCAAGGAACGATCTCAAAGCAGACAAAGAGAACAGCATATGAGATGAGCAAAGACTTTGACCCACCAGAAAACTCAGTGGCAACCTTTTTACTTATGTGTATGAAACAACTAGAACCACTATGTTAAGTCAGGAATTCCTAGCTCCACTTCCACAACTCAATAATCTTTCACTGTTCATGGAGGAGAAAAAGGAGAAAGAGTGGTGCTAGTATAGACAGGGGTAGAGTTGCAAAGTCCACTTTAAATCACAGCCAAGGGCATTCAGAAAAGTTCCTCTGGGTGATGAGTTAAAGGGGAAGAAAAAAATATCAGACTAATAGAGATCACCTGGTCTGAACCCCTCCCCCATATTCCAAGAGGGAAAGAAAAATGAGAAGACTTTCAGGAAAAGGGAAGAAAAAGAGAAATGTGTTGACAGGGGTACCAAAACCTTTCAATTCAAGCAACAATCACAAGCGGACCCACACTCAGGGAAATGCAGGATTTTGCTTCAAAACCTAAAGCCAAATTTTGTGTATCATGTGCCTCCCCCCACCAAGCCAACCCCTACCCTTACCCCCATGCAGGTCTTACCTGACCAATGCCATGCCATACAGCAGTCTAAGTTCATCAGTGCCCAAGCCACCAGTTACATCCATGAGCTTACAGCGTATCAGGTCAGCGGTAGAAGCCACTGCCAGGGGGAGTTCGTTGCCTAACCTAAAGGGCCACAGTCCAGCACCATCATAAAAGCCCCTTACATTGGTCCACCCTCCACCTCATAACCTAGGTTGCTGTAGGCTATTCCCATCATATACTGGCTCGAGTGCATGAACAGACACAAAACAAGAAGGTGGGTGATGAGAGGGTAATGTCTGTGGGATCCAACAGTATACAGGGCATGAGGGCTGGCTCGGGTGAACACAGGACACCTAATCGCCAGACTGTCAACCAACAGTGTCTGAACACATCTCCTTTCTTTCACCCTGAAACACTTAACCCATTCAGCTGGAGAAGTCCTTTATCCGTCAATAATCTGATTAGCCCACTTCAATCAATTTAAGGAGTAGATTGCTACTTACTCCTCAGGCCCCGCTGGTCCCTCTGGAACCCTCCTCAAATTGAGAGGAAGTCACTTTTCAGAGGTAAGGGGTAAAGGTCACAGATATGACAAGAGAATTCTTGAGAAACAACCCTACTTTCCATCCACAAATGGGATTAGTGCAAGAGCTTGGCTCCTCTTTACCTCCAGGCACTTGAAGAGGGGCATCAATAGGCAATTTAAGGAAAGCCTGGACAACACGGCTTTATAGAAACTCGAAAAAGAGGTGAGGCGACATCAGCATTCAGGCAAGAAGGCGGAGCTCGTCACATTACCTGCTCCTCCACACGGTGATGCGGTTCAGCGCGTACTGCTGCAACTTATGGTCGTCACAGAACAGATAAACCGTCACCTGGTCCCACTCGGCCCTACTGAGCCAGGCGACCACAAGGCTCTGGGCCCACAGTGTCGACGATTCCTTTACTTTGACACACTTGCAGTACCACGCACTCCACGCGAGATCCATCCTCCGGGGACCCGGACGTAGCCAGGCCTGGGATTCCCACCAGACCCTGGGCACAAGGCCAGTCCCTGTGCTGCAGCGCACTGCAAAGACTTCAGCTCAACGTGCTACCCTCACTCCAGACCGCCGCTGCGCCAGCTACCAATGGGAGAAATTGACCCTTACGCAAGCCCGCCTCCCAGCGTCGGCATAACCAATGGGAACATGAAAGATCGGGGACGGCTTAACCACACAAGAGAATATGTGTGAGCCTGCAGGAAGTGTTCTTTTCACAAAGCAACCCTACCAAGTGTAAGCGGTCAGCCTAAAGGTTCCGCTAACTTCCTGGTTGCTAATGGGCAACCTGACCCAGGGGTGTGTCTGGATTACAGAAGGAATTTTATTTTGCGCCCCTGGGCGGGCGGTGGAGGGATTTTGAGCAACCAATGCACTTCCTGGAAATGTGATTATAGGTATGTTTTTATTGCCCCGAACCAGTATCCAGCCCAGTAAAACATGGACACTGGAACGGTATTACAGGGGAAAATACCCAATATCTTTATCTAGATAAAGTTGGGGTGAGTAAATCTGCTTTTTTTGGCAGGTACCCACGGGTCCTGCCTTATAAATTGGTATCAGCCTATTGTTGCACAGTGATGCAAAGTCTGAATTACTGGGATGAGATTTATCTTACCAGCATAGAGGCTTGGGTTCTAGTCTCAATTTTGCTACTAACAGTGAGTCCTGTGTTGATGGAAAAGAAGCCATACTCTGTAAAATAATTTAAGGGGGTTTATTCTGAACCAAATTTTCAGACCATGACCCAGAGCCACACCCAAGACGCCTTAAGCAAGTGGACTTGCATTGGTGAGATTAGAGTTTGATTTTATGCCTTTTGGGGAGAAAGGAATTGTAGGTGAGGTCATAAATCAGTATATACAAAGCATACAATGGATTGGCCCCAAAAGATGGGGCATATGAAAGGGGGCATATGATAGGTGAGTTTAAAGATTCTTTAGCTTACAATTGTCTGAAAAAGTTAGGCTTTGTCTAAAAGACCAGGAGTCAGTGCAAAGGAATGGTTAAGATAAGGGTCTGTTAATCAGAGACCAAGTACCTGGCAGACTCAAGTGGTTTGTTATTTATATGAGAACCTGCAGGTATGTCTTGCATAGCCTTAAGCCTATTTAATGAGTCACAGAGGACATCTCTAAGAAGGGGAGGAGGCATTTGTCTGGTCTCCTTTCTTATGGCTAGCAACTCAGTTTTAGAGATCCCCTTGGCCCAGAGAGGGTACAGTCAGTTGCTTAGGGGGACCCTTAAGATTTTTGTTTCACAACCCCCCACTTTGGCCAAGATCTGCCAGAGGCAGCATTAATGGCCAAACTTTTATTTTGTCCCATGCATTGCTGGGGCAGTGTGGCTACCTCCCCCAGGTCCATCCAGGCTCTCAGAGGGACCTTTGTGGCCAAGAAAACTAAATGGCCAAAAGGGCTTATGGCCAATTAAGTGTTTTAGGCTAGATGATACTGGGAGTGAATAGGCACTCAACAACCCTTTAAACCCTTGTAGGCAATATAAGAGTAAAAACCAAAATATCAAAGACAAGGTGGCAAAATTACTCTGTAAGAGTTGAGCTACTATATTCCTAGGTTTAGGTGCAAGCTTATAGCAGACAGAAGCATTGTTAACCATTTGAGCTAAGGGATTTAGATACTTTTGTTGTATTATGATATTTTATGTTAGTCTCTTTAGTAATTCATTGTAAGGTAGCCAATAAATTTCTTGTTATATTTCCTTTTGCAAAAACCCTGTAACTGAGAACAGTTATACCCAGGAAACTCTATATTTATGAGAAGCAGGACATTTTTTTTATGATTGTGATAGATACCTGCACCATGGGACCCAGAAAGACCAAGACTCTCATGCAGTATTTGTTTAGGCTTCTGTGTGTCCATTCTTGATCTGGAGGGTTTAAACTAATTCCATCCCTTTCAGTTCTTACAATCTCACAGGCCCCCTCTTCCACAGTAGTCCCTGGGCCTAGAGGGAGGACTTTGAGTAGCAGAGTGTTGGCAGTAAGTAACAGGTTGGGCCTGGCAGGATTCAATAGTTTTAAATCCTGGAGATATCAGGTTAAACTTTCTATTTACTCAAAACTTGTCATAACTCTGGAAAACAAAGCAAAATAATCAGTAATGTTTTAAACAAATAGTTCAGTCTATGTAATTCATTTCTGTTATGTTTGAGGTTGACTTGGCAAAATTCATGGGCCTATCAGCTTTTTAATTAAAGTTATAGAAGTTTGCTTTGTTTTAATCTGATGTTATATAATTTCCAAAGCTAAAAGAAATCTATATTCAAGAGAACTTGTCAGTCCTTTTCATGGCTTTTCTTAAAAGACAAACTGTGAACCTATCCAGTGGGAAAAAAAACAGCACTTTATAAGATGAATCAAAATAAAATAATAATTGCCTATGAAAGACAAATGTCTTAGAATAGCCATGGTTAAAGAGACGAATGGCAAACAAAGTTGGTTATTTTTGTGGCATACAAAAATTTAACATCAATAGCCATAATTATTACTGATTATATATACTGAGACATAACAATATTCTACAGTATTGGGCCAGGTGTGGTGACTCACACCTGTAAATATAGCTCTCTGGAAGGCCCAGGCAGGTGGACTGCTTGAACCCAGGAATTCAAGATCAGCCTGAGCAAGAATAAGATCCTGCCTCTACTAAAAATAGAAAAACTAGCCAGTCCCAGCTACCTGGAAGGCAAACCGAGGAGTTTGAGGTTGCTGTGAGCTATGATACCATGGCATTGTACCAGGACAACCGAGTGAGACTCTGTCCCCCCCCCCAAAAAAAAAATATTTGACTAAGAGTAATAGTTTTCAAAACGTTCTAAAGACAATACGGAAACTTATATGGATGCAAACCTTAGCCATTTTAAAGTTTAATTATCCAATTGCCAAAAAAGTGAAAAAATTCCATAGTACAATTTTAAGTTAAAAGGAAAAAGTCATGTAATTTCATAAAGAGTAAATTAATACTTTAAGAAAACTTCATTGTTTTAACCTCATAAATTATAGGCAACCAAATCACATGCAAATTCCTTCTTAAAACAGGATCACAGCTTGGCACCTGTGGCTCAAGTGGCTAAGGCGCCAGCCACACACATCTAAGGTGGTGGGTTCAAATCCAGCCCAGGCCTCCCAAACAACAACGATGGCTGCAACCAAAAAAAAAAAAA